ATGACGGTCACAATTATCTGAAAGTATTTTAATTTTAATTTTTTTTTCTACAAATCGGAATGATTTGAAATTCGGAACGTGTGTAAATCTTAGTGAGGCGTACATAATAAAAATATCAAAAATATAATTTGTAAAAACTATATTGACTAAAATACCCTTGAAACTTTTCAAGGTCAATTTATTTCATGCAAAATATGTTTTTGATATTTTTCGTAGATTGGTCTATTTTTTATAAACACAAACTCCAAATTTCAAATCATTCTAATTAGTAGAAAAAAAAATGAAAAATAAAATACTACTTTACATCCGTGATCATCAGATTGGCCCAGATTCTATCAGCGCCTTTTGACGTTTACTATAACGGTACATGAATCGGCATATTGTAGCATCCATATATATATATATATATATATATATTACATTTTGAGGTCGAGATGATGAATCTGAAGTTCTCATGGATTTTTGAGGTGCGCCTTACTTCTAAGTATGAGGTTGACACCTTGTATAATTTTTTCCTATTTTTCATACAGGGCGAAACTAAACGGTGGGGTTCGTACAAGATTGACGCTTTAGGTAATTAAAGTAAAGTGCACTTCCAATGATGTCAAAAATATTGTTTCAGTGCCAAAAATCCCTATAACGGTCTTAAATTCTATTTTCATCCCTTGAAAACATGATATCTTTCGGCTTTAAAGCATAATACATGATTTTAAACAATCAAACAAATAAATAACTCTAATTTTTTATTTATAAAACATATTTTTATATGGGTGGAGTTTGTATAAGTCATAAGATTTCAAAAAACAAAAGCTTATATAAGGCATCAATCTTAAACAATCAAAGTCAGGCTCATCTCAAAATTATGTCAAAAGAAACATTTTGATGCCTGAAAGTCTTGTATTGTTATGAAAATCTATTATTTCCCTTGATTATAAAATTTAAAAGTTCAATAAATGACACAAATTGAGCAGAGGTTTATACATAATTAAAATTTTTCAAAATAGACAATTCAGATAATGCATTACAATACATGCTATTTTTAAGATTTGAAAAATCCTTCTTTTGTTTTATATTCATACATCTTGAGATCAAGATGATCTATTTAAAAGTTTTCTAGTACACTTCTAAATATGAGGCTGACACCTTATATAAAGTTTTTCTATTTTATATTTTCATAGGGGAAACCTAAATGGTGAATTCATACAAGGTTGACATTTTAAGCAATCAAAGTACGTTGCACTTCCAATGAAGCCAAAAGATACTATTTTTATGCCAAAAATCCATATATTGGTTTTAAAATCTATTTTCAACTCTAATTATGAAATTTAAAACTTTAAAAATAATATAGATGCAATAGATCTACAAACCCTTGAAAATTTTAAAAATAAACAATTTTAGATAATACATTACAAGATGCACAGTTTCTAAGACTGGAAATCCTTCTTTTTTTTCATGCCCATATATCTTGAGGTCGAAGTAATAAATTGAAGAGCTTTTTGACATCAAAACAACCTTTTCTAATGATTTTTGAAGTGCACCTTACTGTTGCTATAAAGTTGAGACCTCATACAAACTTTTTCAAAAAATTGAAGCCCCACAATTGTTATATTCCTTTTAATCCAATAATTGCCCCAGCTCCTTCAGCTTCTTTCCAAAAGATTACATTGTGTCGAGAACATCTCTTAAACTTCTCCGTGTACTCTAATTTGGTGAACTATTATTTCCCAATACACCCACAAATTTGAAAAGTTTCTAGCATAATTAATTTTTCAAAAAATCTATTTTCTAATCCTCTAAACATATTTGACACTATTTTACGACATATTTTCATCCCAAATAAATTTTGAAATGACCAACAGGTTCTCTTTAATGAGATCCATACCTGATTTTTCGAGCAGGCCTACCTCCCTGCCTGATTTTTGAAAGGCCATGCACTTGAAGACAACTTACATGGTTTTATTTTTATTAGATCCATGAATACATCTATCATTCCCTTTCTTCTCCCTGGTACATGAAACTTATCAATTATATCAAAATCCCAGTGTAACAAAAATGCTCCGAACCTCTTCGACTAAAATGTTACAACGCTCAAAACCTCACTCCATTATGTGGGCACATCTGGACCGCCTGGCTCATTCGAGAACAATCATCATTACTAGTAAGAAGGGACACAGCCCCACCATAAAAGTAGCCATCATAGCTCCCCAAACCTCTGTAGGACCCTGACCCATTCATAGCTTCAGAGCCATAGAACCTTGACCCACTTGTGGGTCCAGAATCATAGGAACCTGACACAAGAGGGGGTCCAGTACCATAGGACCCTGACCCACCATTGGGTGCAACTCTGTAGGAGCCTGAACCACCAATAGGCATAGCATGATTGGAGCCTGACCCACCAATGGGTTCAACCCTAAAGGATCCTGTCCCACCAGAGATTATGGTACCATAGGCCCCAGAGGCACTAGCAGGTTCCGCCATATAGGACCCAGACTTAGCAATGGCTGAAGTGCTGTAGAACGCTGACCCACCCACAGGTGCAGCACCATATGAACAGGACCCCCTATTCGTTGGGGTGCCATACCCTGACCCACAGGTGGGTGCTAGATAAGGCAATCCACCACTCATGCGGGACTCTTCTGAGTACAATTGGGTGCGAGACATAGGTGCCTGGCTCCTATGTGAACCACTAAGAGAGGACAAACATGGGCCAAGGCCTGCAGGCCTCTCATATGGACTTGACCCACCATGCCCATAAGACCCAACGACCTGTTTCTCGCCGGGGTATGAATAAACTGGTGGCATTTCAATGTGACCTTGAGCCAGACCAAAGAAGCCCATGGGCCCATCAGGCCCTGGTGAAGAAGCTAAAGTGGGCCCTGGTGCATGGTCTATTCGTGCCCGCTTTTTTTTGTTCTTTATATCAGAAGAAGCTTGCTTATTTCTTTCCATCATTGACTCGTGTAGATGCGCAATTCTTTTCTTCAAGTCATCACAGAAGATCCGATCTTGGAGGCCATGCTCTTTAGCACACTTTATCACCGCCCTTAGGCCAGACATTTCTTTCTCGGCAGCCTTATTCTGTAAGAAGAGGCACCAACTGTTACTCAACAATAAGAAAAGAATAGAGAATTGAACAATATAGAGAAGGAGAAAAAGGCAAGTATGCTTAACTACAACAGAACATGGAAGAACATAGTCTATTCTAGTCATGAAGGCGACGAAGAGAGAGGAACCCATCAGGATTCGAAACGAACTCAGTGGTGTTCGCCCCCTCTTCCCATTACTCTGTTCTTCAAATAGCAATGACCCTGATGTGCAATGCGTTTCTCCCAACAAAAAGAACAGATGAGGAATATGTTTTAGTTGGCTGTATACAGATAATGGATTCACTAAACCAACTCAAAGTTTTGTTTGCTGAAGTAAAGTGGTTCAGCAATGTTAAACTCGGTGAAATCATTTCAGAAATCTTACCTATACACAGTTTATAATAGAATAGACTAAGGTATTTTAACCATTGTCCTCCATAAGCATCATATTAAAGTTGGCCCAACCAGAAACCAAAATTCTAAAGGATTCTTTATGCTTTCTTTCCGATCAGAATGATAGCTTTTGTTGAAAATCCCATCTATATTGGGCTTAAACTCACAAAAGAAAATTGAAACACAAAAAATTGAGTATCGGCTCCAGTGGACAGGGTCACAAGAACCCTCCACAAGGTATGGACTTGGCTAGTCCTTTTTTGACAAGTCCTATGGTGACTCCTACAAAGGAGTGGATGAATTGATGCAGCTTGGTCAAATCTATTTTCATTTGTTTCATTTTTCTCAGGCCATGAGAAGCTTTGGCCCATAGCCGTAACCCTCTCATTATTAAGGAAAAAGATATGAGAGAGGTTTGATTATGCAATGCCAAAGGGTTCCCAACCCAAAACAGAAAGCATGATAAACCAACTCATGCAAGTTATGTTACTAGCTCACCCAACAAGTGTTATGTCCCTCAATTTTCATAAAAAACCAAAAGACACCCCATAATTGCAAGGCTAAGTATCCATATATGATCTGTGTACAATACGGTGCACAGACGAAATAACCACTGTGTAATTGTAAACCAGGTGAATCTCCATCAACAGGAACTACAACAACTCTCTCCACAGTCCACATCATGAACAGACAGTAAAAAGTAACTGTACCCAGTTGAATGTCCAGCATTAGGAATTACTGTAAATCTCCACCACCCATTGTTCAGAACAATCGATGAATGCCTCCACTGTGTGGCATGTACCACAAATATGTAGGTTCCGTATGCTGTACTTTCCCTAATTGAAAATATCAAGACTAGTAACTTTTGGCAATAAATCACAGTAACGGAACAACAAATTTTGAGCAGTATGGACTGCTTGGTGCATTAAGATGAATGCTGAGAGGGTTGGCTATCATACCTGTGCTTTAACAGATCTCTTTCCAATTGACAAGATTTCATCAGCAGCTTTCTTGTTTTCCCTCATATAAGATGTCAAATAGGTAACTGGCTCGAACTTGTCGACAAGGCCAAAAGCATAAACAAAGTTTACAGCCTCGATATACTTCCCTCTTGAGATCAGTTTCTTAATAAAACCTGTCATCATAAAAAGTTTTAAATCTGCCATGAAAATCATACAAATGGGAAGGAGAGGAATGACGTTACAAAGAGGCAGAGGAAGAGGAATGATGTTCCAAAGAGGCAGAAGACAAAGGGACAAAAAATATTTGAAAGGATAACCAAATATTTAAGGGGGAAAAAAGTCAAAGGGGAAGATCAGGTGCCTTGTCCAAGAGTAGCATAGAATAAAAAAGAAAAGGACAAATGCAAAAAAAGAAATCATCTAAAAATAGTATCGGTTCCCATGAGCATGTGCATAAAGGGAAATCCTGAGTGTGAAATGGCTATCATGGCAATGCAGCTGCGGTCATCCCAACTACTGTGAATCAACGGGAAAAAAACACATTTTCCCCCTGTCATAGTCGCATTTCCCAATCAATCGGGGGTTAAGGGTAAAACCACTGCAGAGTCAGGGATAACAGCAGGGAGGGATCCGCGGAACCTGTACGCATGCTATGCCATCAACCTGTACAGGTCATACCATCATTGACCAAAAAACCTCTCCCCAGATGAGCCATTTATAGTAACGATGAAGAACCATAAATACAGAATACCAGGGCATGGGGGAGTGCGGAAAATACACTAGTAAAAACAAAAAGGAGGTCCAATCCCTTCACTATTGAAGGAACAGAATGTAACACATCAAAGTTCGAACAAAAGGTGGAGACAAACTGTCACATATATCAAGATCATGTGAGCCCAAATAGTAGAGATACAGGAAAACCACCTTCACAATCTACGCCAAGACATCTTTTAACAAGGACATTAATTTCAACATCAAATCTGCTACTTATCCATTAAAAGGGAAAGGCCTCTCACAACCATTATTGTAAATTACCTACTCACAGGTGCCTTCATGGTGGGGTAAGTCACTAGACAACTATTCCTTTGCCTCGAAAACAAATTTTTTAACTCAAAAATAAAAAATAATTCTGGGATCGCATTCAATTTCGAAGTTCTTGGTTTCTTGCGAAACTGAGAGGTGTTCTACCCAGAAAGAGATTGCAAAGGAGAGCTTTTGGTAACTAAAAGTGGCCAATTCAAGCCTACTTCAATTGGTTTTCAAAAGGATAGTAAATTTAATTGTTTATGTTTACGGTTTCGAATTTTTGTGAGTATTGTGTAACATTATACGTTTTATAATTTTCTTATTTTTATTTTTGAAGTTTTCTTTACATTTATGACAAAACTTCATATGTCTTTCTTTTTTTTTTTAGGGTTTGCTATTTTTGTGATTATAATTTTTAGCAATGTTTGGCTATGTTTATACTTGATAGGACATGATTTCTATGAGTCCATGTAGAAATGAGTCACCTCTTAAAACTCTATTTTTGAGATGGATTTTTTGACCTAATTTTTAAGGACATGTAATCTCTAACATGGATATCATGAATATTGATAAATAAATAAATTTTGAAAATTAAAAATAATAATTCTATTAAAAAAACATTTGAACCGTTAGTTTCAACTGTTTTCAGATGGACCACCTATTTGCATCATCCATCTTTAAGATGGATACTTTACACCTTGTGGACCGCAAATGTAGGAATGCGGTCCACATCGCATGAAACAATTTTCCTACTTGATAATGGACATTTGAAATTTTATGACATATTTTTTGCTATATTTGGCTTTGCTCCTAATTTATGATGCAAAATTGAAATTTTAGGACACCCACCTATTGGATTTGGTGCTATCCAAAATCACCCACATAAAGAAATCCCACATTGTGTGGAATTGAGATTGATATTGATAAGTTTCCTAAAGAAATAGAAATCCAAAAGGATTATGACTATTGGATATATTTCTTGGTTCTTGAGATATATGTAACATCTATAAGAATTTTTCTATTTAGTGTGATTCCTAACCTTATATATATGGGATAAAAGAGCAAATCATGTGCCCTATTTGGGTCACCATATGGGAACGGTGGTTTCCTCTAGAGAGAGGGTGGGGCAGGGACCTCCTGCGCATGAGATGCAAGGTCTCTTCTTAGAGAGAAGAAAGCCTCCGATGGAAAAAAAACATTGCGCTGGTGCCTCCTATAGACTCCTTAAAATTGAAAGGCTGGTTTCTTGTATAGAAGCAGTTCCTACAGAGATTTTGGGTGGTTTCACCTTTTAGTTAGAGAGAAAGTCAGTTTCGCGTTGCTCTCGCGTCTCTATCGGGTGTTGTTGGTAATGGTTGCTACAAGTAAAGAGAAGGAAGAACGACACGTGGTGTCGGTCAGGAGAGTGGTTTAAAAGGGTTTGCTCGACTAGGTTTTGTTGAGGTTTAGAGAGGTAACTCTATGTCCCAAAATCTAGGGTGTAACTTTCATTGGTATAGTGAATTTCAATTTGTAGTGCCCGTGGATGTAGCCCTTCTGGGGTGAACCACATAAATCTTTGTGTTCTTGTGGTATTTGTTCCATGTTTTATTCCTTGTACTTTATTTTCCAAAGAGCTTCCGCACACAAGTAGTATCAAAACCCGGTTTGGCGTTGTCAGTATGGCAGTAAAGGTTTGTCATTAAAGGCAAGGAATACCATGTCTGCAAGCTGAAAAAGTCACTGTACGGCCTAAAGCAGTCTCCTAGGCAGTGGTACAAGCGCTTTGATACATTCATGATTGGACACGGGAATGTCGGAAGTATTACCATTGTGTCTATTTTAAGAGATTTATTGATAGTTCATTCATCTATTTATTGCTCTATGTAGATGATATGCTTATTGCTATGAAGAATTCTTCAAAAATTAGTAAATTGAAGACTCAGCTTGCTAGAGAATTTAAGATGAAAGATTTAGGTTCAGCAAAAGAAAATTTTGGCCATGGAGATAGAGATCGAAAGTTGGGTAAATTGTGGCTATCCCATAAGGAGTACATTGAGAAGGTCTTCGCTAGATTCGGGATGGAAAATTCAAAGCCCGTTGCTGCACATTTCAGATTGTCGGCAACATTATCTCCAAATTCAAATACTGAAAAAGAACAAATGTCACGTGTTCCTTATGCGAGTGCAGCTGGAAGTCTCATGTATGCAATGGTTTGCACTCGTCCATATATTTCTTATCTCGTTAGTGTTGTTAGAAAGTATGTGGCTAATCCAGGAAATAAGTATTGGCATGCGATAAAATGGATTTTGTGTTACCTAAGGGGTACATCAGATATGGGTCTAGTGTTTGACGAAGATAACAAGTTTGGTGACAAGGTTATTGGTTATGTTGATGCTGACTTTGCACGTGATTTAGATTGTAAGAGATCTACCACAAGGTATGTGTTTACACTTGCAGGAGCTCCGATCAGTTGGAGGTCGATGCTACAAATCGTGGTTGCCTTGTCTACAACTGAAGCAGAATACATGGCAGTTAACGAGGCAACCAAAGAAGTTATTTGGCTTTGAGTCTTATAAGTGATTTTGGTTTACGACAGGATGGGACTATTATTTATTGTGATAGACAGAGTGCAATACATTTGGCGAAGAACCAGATATATCATGCAAAGACAAAGCATATTGATGTCAGGTACCATTTTATCCGTGAGATAATAGCTGAAGGTGATATCTTGTTACTGAAGATTGACACCAAGAAGAATGTTGCGGATATGTTAACCAAGCCCCATTACAAAAGTTCAAGCTATGCTTGGACTCGACTAATGTGTTGCCAAGGTGAGTGCCTATGGCGGCACGTGTGCAGACGACGGTCGATGAGAATCTCTTTTGGAATTCAAGCCAAGGTGGAGATTTGTTGATAATTATTGTCATGAATCCTAAATATTAAGGGATTAGTTTCCTTTAATTTAGGTTTTATATTTTTAAATAATTCCTATTATATAGGATCTTATTTTATGGATAAGTCCTACTTAGATTAGGTTGGGGCCTTGAGTGCACATGAATAGGGATAAAGATACATTTTGATAAAGTTAGGAGAAGTGGGAGAGCGCCTCACACACTGCTTTTGGAGCGCTTTATTTTCTCTATATAATGGGTTATTTTAAAGAGAAAACGCCAGTAAAATAGAGGAAAACTTTACGGGTTTTTGTAGAGAGAAAATTGTAGAGAGAAGAAAGCTTGGTAGAAGATTGAGCTCAGTGCCTCTGGTTCTCTCAAGTAAGTGCCTTGTAATTTTCTTTCTTTGATTTAGTGAAAAACAGTGATCATCTTCACCCGTAGATGTAATCACATATGTGACAAACCACGTAAATATTGGTATTCTTTTCTTGTTTTTTTTGTTATTTCTTTCTTGGTTTGCTTGCTACTTGTTTTTATCGACTTTTTTTTCTTCCTAATAAGTTGATTTTTGGCAAATAAAGTACGAGAAAAAAGAACCGACAAAAACAAGCAACAAGCAAGAAAAATAAAACAGGAAAGAAACAACAAAAAAAAAAAATCTGTATTTTCATAGTTTATCATAAATGTAACTACATCCACGGTCGAAGACGATCGATTTTTTCCACTAAATCAAAAAAATAAAATTACAAGGCACTTACTTGAGAAAACCAGAAACACAGAGTTCAATCTCCCACCAAGCTTTCTTCTCTCTACAATTTCTCTCTACAAAACCCCTTAAAGTTTTCCTTTATTTTTCTGGCATTTTCTCTCTCTAAAATAACCCATTATATAGAGAAAATAAAGCCCCTCAAAAAGTGGTACATGAAGCTCTCCCACTTCTCCTAACTTTAGCAAAAGGTAACTTTATCCCTATCTATGCGGACTCAAGGCCCCAACCTAATCAATATAGAACTTATCCATAAAATAAGATCCGACAAAATAGGAATTATCTAAAAAATAAGAAACCCAAATTCAAGGCAACTAATCCCTTAATATTTGGCATTCATGAAAAAAATTATCAACACCCCGGGGGGGGTTTCTCTTCCTCCCCTGTACCCCACACAGTGGCCGCCCGGGTCACTAGGCAGAGCTGCCTTGCCAATTGGGAATCCCAACTGCTTGCACAGCCGCACGCGTCTTCTTGAGCATTGGTTGTAAGTCCTTGTCTACCC